GAGCTGGTGAACCCCACTGCCGTGTGAGCTGGTGAACCTCACTGCCGTGTGAGCTGGTGAACCCCACTGCATGTGAGCTGGTGAACCTCACTGCATGTGAGCTGGTGAACCCCACTGTCGAGTGAGCTGGTGAACCTCACTGCTGTGTGAGCTGGTGAACCTCACTACCGTGTGAGCTGGTGAACCTCACTGCCGTGTGAGCTGGTGAACCTCACTGCTGTGTGAGCTGGTGAACCTCACTGCCGTGTGAGCTGGTGAACCTCACTGCCGTGTGAGCTGGTGAACCTCACTACCATGTGAGCTGGTGAACCTCACTACCGTGTGAGCTGGTGAACCTCACTACCGCGTGAGCTGGTGAACCTCACTACCGTGTGAGCTGGTGAACCTCACTGCTGTGTGAGCTGGTGAACCTCACTGCCGTGTGAGCTGGTGAACCTCACTGCCGTGTGAGCTGGTGAACCTCACTACCGTGTGAGCTGGTGAACCTCACTGCCGTGTGAGCTGGTGAACCTCACTGCTGTGTGAGCTGGTGAACCTCACTGCCGTGTGAGCTGGTGAACCTCACTGCCGTGTGAGCTGGTGAACCTCACTACCGTGTGAGCTGGTGAACCTCACTACCGTGTGAGCTGGTGAACCTCACTACCGCGTGAGCTGGTGAACCTCACTACCGCGTGAGCTGGTGAACCTCACTGCCGTGTGAGCTGGTGAACCCCACTGCCGCGTGAGCTGGTGAACCTCACTGCCGTGTGAGCTGGTGAACCCCACTGCCACGCGAGCTGGTGAACCCCACTGCCGTGTGAGCTGGTGAACCCCACTGCCGTGTGAGCTGGTGAACCCCACTGCCGTGTGAGCTGGTGAACCCCACTGCCGTGTGAGCTGGTGAACCTCACTGGCATGTGAGCTGGTGAACCTCACTGGCACGTGAGCTGGTGAACTCCACTGCCGTGTGAGCTGGTGAACCTCACTACCGAGTGAGCTGGTGAACCCCACTGCCGTGTGAGCTGGTGAACCTCACTGCCGTGTGAGCTGGTGAACCCCACTGCCGTGTGAGCTGGTGAACCTCACTGGCATGTGAGCTGGTGAACCTCACTGGCACGTGAGCTGGTGAACTCCACTGCCGTGTGAGCTGGTGAACCTCACTACCGAGTGAGCTGGTGAACCCCACTGCCGTGTGAGCTGGTGAACCTCACTGCCGTGTGAGCTGGTGAACCCCACTGCCGAGTGAGCTGGTGAACCTCACTGGCACGCGAGTGCCGGCACTCCCAGCCGCCCAGACTTCAGGAATCGTCTGCTCTTCTTCTGCAAACCCCCCCCCACCCCCCGGCAGACTGCCCCCCAAGTAAAGTAACGTTCGCCGGCGGCCGCACGTTAACAGCGAAAGACGCGACTCTGGTAAGTAGATTAGGATTTTGCCAGAAAGAATAAAGAGGCTTTCTGCTTAATTAAATTTGCATTAACAAGGCTGTGGGGCCCAGCCGCCGAACGAACGGAGGCCGCACGTCCCAGTGTAATTCCATAATTAAAGGCCCTTCGTGTACGATATTGTTCACTTGAAAACAAATCAATATCCGAGTGTCTGGATGCCAGCAAACGGCAGAAAAAAGTCAAACTTCTACATTTCACACCGGCATTAATTTTTCATCAGAGTAGCCATTACATAAGATTAATACCGTGAAAGTGTATCTGAGTTATTAAATTGTAAAGTGCACCGCTATCCGATTGCACAGCGCGGGGGCCGCGCCGCGTTTCACTCAGTCGCCGCGCTCGAGGAGCGTTGAGTTTATTAGCGGAGCAGGAACAAGCGATTAGCGGCACAGCGCACGCCCACGTGGGCACGCGCAGCCTGCCAGCACCGGCGCTCGCCACGCGCTCCTTCTCCACTCTGCCTCCGTCCCTCGCCGACTCGGCGCGAGCTGGCCGAAGCGTTTCCCAGCCGCCCTCTTGCTTCCATAGCTTCCCCCGGCACCCTCTCCTTGCTTCACGACTCCCAGATTCGCTTCTGGGCAGGAAGCACGCGGTCTCCCGCTTTGCTGCCTGCGGCCATGCGATTCGATTTCTCGCACCGCTCCACGTGGCCTGGTTTTGCGTAACGAGCCCTCCACTGCTCCCGTGCACGGCTGCTTGCTGCGCGGGGCGGCTTGCCATTCACTGTGCTGCAGCCGTGCGTGGCGCACAATAGTTCATGACACTGTGCGCAGGAGGGAAACACCTTTTGGCTCTAAATAGAGGTGGCGTGCACCTTAACGTTTTGTCAGGCATTAACGCTTATTCTTACACTGGACTCGCGTGAAACGATGAAGCCCTGCTGCTTGCAACTTCGCCTCTCCTGTCCGACTACTCGGCCTCAAGGTGTGCAGTGTGAACGCTCCGTGCGGAATACCCGGCGCTACATTTTGCTTTCAGAACAAGGATGGGGTGACTGTGCATCACGTCCAGGTGACTGGTTGCAGCGGGAAGACAAAGGCAGCCGGCCACGGTGCTGGCTGCAGCACCAGACCTCCTCATCTCATTGAGCGCATAACCGGGTGCAATTACAAAAATGGATGCTATACAGTAAAACCTGGTTATTTCGGTATTTGATCATTCGTAATTGTGAATAATTCGGCACGGCTACGCTTTCGGTATACAGACTATATTAGTAATTCGCCATGAGCCGAATTGCCGCACCAAATGGTACAATTTCGGCATGCACGTGGAGCGACGCCACGCACCACGACCAAAACAACGACTCAGTCTGGTGGCGGCGAGCGTGGTGAGCGTGGAGAGTGTGGTGAGCGTGGCAAGAGTGATGAGCGTGGTGAGCGTGGCGAGAGTGGTGAGCGTTCGTGCAGACCCGTCGCTTTGGACTTCACCTTGTTGATGCACTCTGTGGAAGCCAACCCTCTCAGAAATGTCGTCTACACCTACATCAACAAGTAATAGAAAGGGACTGAAGTAGAAATGCCTTAGTCTGCGAGCCAAATCCACACTTTTGGATAGAATTGATGCAGGTGTGTCAATGCGTATGGTGTGTGCAGAGTTTGGAAAAAAAATTTAGATTTTTTTTATTGGGGCAGGAGGCAATGGGGAGTACCATTTTACATAATTCGGAATATTGGGTAATTTGGCAAGACCTGAGTCCCATATGTGTCGAATTAACAAGGGTTTACTGCATTTCAGCTGTATGAACTTTTTTGACCAATTCAAGGAGCTTGTTGTTGAGTGCACAAGACATTGCACGGCTCGCTCCGGAGTGTGTTGCTACACAGCGAGCACCTCAACTGAGACAACAGCGCAAGGAAGCACAATCGCTCCTCTGAGAGACACCGACACCACACAGTGCATCATGGGAAACGGGCAACCGCCAAGGCGCACTCTCGCTCAAGGTAAAGTGCTCGAGATCCGAATGTGTTTGGCGCGTCATTCGTGCTCTCGCCGCTCAGGAAGCTGGGAGCCGTGGACAAGCGTCACTCGCCACTGCCCTATTCCGCACACAGTGCAGTCCATCTCTCATGTGTCAATCGCGAGAGAGACACACACACGCAAACATACGTCTTTGTGTCAAAGTGCGGTAGTGTGGGGAGCGGTAGTGTAGAGGTTAGCGCACTGCACTTGGAGCCTGGAGACACGAGTTTGATTCCTGCTCATGGCCACCACCAGCGACAATTATCTGAACCCGTCGTGTGCCTCACCTAGGTCGACTCAGCCTCAAATGAGTACTTCGTGCATTGTGTAAACACCGCCACTGGGGAGACAAAGGCGGTTAGGCATGGTGCTGGCCACCCACCCCCCTTGTGTGCCATGCTGGCCTTCATAGGTGCTCGCTAAAAGCACTTGCACCTACAATAGATTTCAGCTATAGGGGGGGTCTTTGTTGTTATCAAAGTACACCTAGCATGGCACAAGCACCGTAGTGACATCACCGCCACGTAGCGGTGAACGGCTGCTGTTGTTATGTACATGAGACCAGAATGAACTCTAAGTGGGAGAATTAAACAACCACGGTCATTACGGAACCTGGTGAGGCGCGGTCATCGGCAAAGCGACGTCGGGAGTTACACAACTAATGTATGAATGTTGAGTTTCTTTTGCACCGTAACGAGCCATGCTACAATGAACGCACTGATCGGAAACAGTTTTGTCATTATCAGACGAATGTAGAGTAAACGCCGAGAACTGGCCACGCCAATAATCTAAACGCTCGCAAGCGTCGGCTGTGGACCCCCGCTTGCCCTAAACGAGCGTGGAAACGAGTGAATAAGTGATGGGACGTAGAGCCGGGACACCGCGCATGGCTGGGGTCTACGCGCCAACACCGAGCCCCGCGCCGGGCGCGGGGTCAGGCCATGCCGCCGCCACCGGCTGGAATTACGGCGTGACGGCCGTGCCCCTAGGGTGCCCACGGGCCCACCGGCGGAGGAACCTACACGCTCCCGCCGGGCCCGGCCGGGCCACCGATAGCAGTGGCAGGCGCCGCCCTTTCCTCTCCGCAGATGAACCGGCGGCGTGTCGCGAGTTACGTAACGAGCGTGAGCGACGGCGGGAACGATGTTCACTCACGAGGGTCGAGGAAGCGGCGCGTGCGCAGGTCGGTCTTAGAACGACGGAGAGCGAGCGAGACGGAGACGCAATTCGGCGTCGAGCAACGAGCGGGCTTCAAACAAGAAGCGCCCAACAAATACCCGATCGGTGAACCCACCGCCAGCTCTCAGACGCAGCGATCGATTGGCTCAATCAATCGCTGTTCAATCTCTGACAGTACAGCCGAAAGAGTGAAACAGCGAGTTTAAGATATAATTGAACGATTGTTCGTCAGTGCAATGAATTGCGCGCAGGGATTCCACAACTTTTCACAAAACTTTCTCTGCCCAATATGTTTGGAGATTCACCCTGTGGTGAATCGGCACCATCAACCTTACGTTTAACCAGTTTATACATGGATTGGTAGTTTGCATTTCGAGACGTGGCCAACAAAGAAAGATGGGGTGCTAAAATGTTTAACGGTAACAAACATCGCTTACCCGATTTCTCTGAAGTCCTCAAGAAGATCATGTCTGCCGGAACACGCTGATTCTAAACGGGAAAGGCAAAACCACGGAACAACGTGAGGCCTTGTGCTCGTCGCTGCCGGGACGATGCGCACAGCGGAACCCAATCGGGCGTGCCGAGCACAGCGGCCTCAGCGCCAGCGGGCTGCGACATCTCGGTGGGTGAACGCGTGAATCATCGACCCCGTGTGTGCTGTGCCTGAGCTGGTAGTGGAAATTCCACATTTCCATGTTGGGACCACATCTGAATAATTTAGCTCATTTGATATCCGCGCCAGTCTTGTGGCGCAATGTGACCGTCACACGAAGGCGCCACGCAGCCGCTTCACGGCAGGGGGCGATGTTGCTGTGCGTAACCCCAATTGAGACATTTTGGTAAAATTTTCTAATTTGGACCGTGCCGCGGGCACACAATGGCCTCGTCATTGTGAATTACATCGTGGGATCTCTAAAGTAAACTGTGAAGCAGACGGCGCGTAGGATTTAACGGTTAACACACCCGCAGTATCAACCAGGGAGGCCTGCCAGGTTCGGACCACGAACCTCTGCAAACAAGCGGCATCCGCGACTGAACACCCACTACTGCCGAACTCCCACGTGAAACTTTGCCAGATCGTGACGACGACGATGATGATGACGATAGAGATAATCTTAACCGTGCTTCATGTCTGCAGCTGTAGAGCGTAAAATATAGCGCAACTGCAGCGGCATTTGTAAAAGTATTTAGAAAACCACGGTGTGGAAAGTACTTGGGAAGCACACTTTGTTGTGTGTGAACTTCAATGAAAGAAAATCACTTTTAAAAAATGCGTCAGCCACAAAGTTAGCGCTGCACAAATTGGTTAGCAGGAGTGCCAGCTCACCGCGCGCAATGAAAGCGAACAAATGTAATCCAATTCACGTCAAAAAATGTCAGGACGATTAGAGACATTAATGTAATCAAGCAGGATGGTACAATTGTGCTCGGAGAGCGGAGTCGCGGTCATGAAATATCACAAATAAGCGCGGCGGGGACGTTTATTACAAACTGCGGCGAGTGTGATGGCATTTGTCAATAGCTGTTAGGAAACCCCTAAAGCAAGCGGCAATAATCCATGCGCCTGATAATTCCTGCGCATGAAAAAATATAAATAATAATAATCTTGTACCGCGCTAAATTAAATGTCATTCTTGTCGCAGACAGATCATTGGATTTTGATGTGCAAATTATAGCCGAATTCCTTTTATTAATTTTGAAAGCTCCTAAGTGGGATCATTTGAAGTTATTTTAATTTTAATGATTTTTGGTGCTTGCACACGGAGGCCGCGTGTTTTAACGACACGGACTCCGCGTGGCGGTGGCTGGCGCCGTCACCACCGCCGTCTCTCCACAGCGAGAACTCGCCCACCCGCCTGCCCGCCCGCCCGCTCGGTCGCTCGCCTACTCGCCCGCTCGCCCACCCACCCACACGCCCGCTCACTCGCACCAGGGAGCGAAGAGGTGTGCACGGCACTCACCTTCTCAACGATGATGAGGTCGCCCACTTGAATGTCTGAGCTCTTCACCTTCGCCACACCTGCCGGGCACGCACAGCGCAATCAGAACACGCACCCCGCTCGGGGGGCATCTCCCTACGAGATGACTACTGGTGACTTCCACAAAAGTGGTACTTATTGCATTGACCTGAACGAGACGATGGGCTCCATTGATTGCCAAACAAAGATTTGGAGCTTGTGACCTTCCGATTACGAGGTGAGGATTATAACGACGGCCCTGGGCGATGAGCTTATCGTAAGTTTCCCATCTTTCCGCACACACACACACACGCACACACACACACGCACACACACATACGCACACACACACGCTCACACACACACGCACACGCACACACACGCACGCACACACACGCACACACACACGCACGCACACGCACACACACACACGCACACGCACACGCGGCGATCACTGACGACCGCAGTAGAGCCCCTGTGCGTTTCTGAGCTTAGCTCCAGGTCAGTGGCTGTCACTGCTGACTTTGGGAGATCACCACACGCAAGCAGGCTCTCGGAGGATGCAGGCACGAACGTGGTGGGCAGCAGAGGGCAGTGCGACAACAACCATTGCTCGACTGTACTTCTACGCTCCCTGCTTTCACCATTCCCGCACTGAACAGCGTGATGAAGCACAGTCAATTAACCACCCGCGACCTGCACATCACGGGGAGACCCCTCATCCAGCAATGGATTGATAAAAGAGGCTGTGCGTGTGAAGTGGATGACGAAACACATCCGCGATCCTGGCCCGGTGAGAAATGACACGACTGGACCGACTGGACATCTGTGAAAAAAAGAGCTTCACAGCTCATCGGATACCTCAAGTCCAAAACAAACATTCTGATTGTGACACGTGTGGGCCCCGTGCTTTACAGGGTTCCGGCTAGACAGCACGTGGCCTCTCGCATGAACGAAAACTCGAGGAGAGGAAATGACATCGTCTGTGCATCTTCTACGTAAACAACCACAATCCCCAACAACCTTTCCGTAAAATTTCGATTTAAAGCTTTCGTGACTGCAGGGATTCATATTCTTGGTACCGAAAGAACCAAGAAGATGGAACCTTTCCGTAGGCTCCGAACACACGGCTACGTCACATAGATGCACACAGACGAGCGCAATCAGTGAAAAGCGACCGTCCACGCACCGCGAGTCTGATGTAAAGAGCGGCTTAAAATGGCGTGATTGTTAGGCTGTTTATGACGCACGTGTAAAATGCAGCTAATTAAAAAGTGATGTTGGTTTATCTAAGATAGAGGTCATATTCTTTTAATAACAAATCTGTTGGTAGCTCGGCATTCTTATTAATTTTAAATGCAAAGTGGTTTAATTAATTGGCTTCTTGGCTGATGTGTTTCCCTTGATTAAGATTAGTACTGCTGCTGTACAAACTGAGTGTGCTTTGAGACAAGGCTGCATGAGTAAATATTTACTAATGAAAGGATGACGATGACAATGATGATTCAATGGACCTCTTTCCACGACCACAACAACGATGCCGAGCTGTGTCGTTCTGCCGCATCGGTCAAAAGTTGATGAGGCCATCAGGTCCGTTGCCAGTAATTCCAGCACACATAAACATCGCTTCCTTCCTTCTGCCAGATCCTGCCAGTTGTTGGACACTCGGTATTTGACCTCTTGAAGTCCGCCCTTTGAGTTTCCCACCATCTGACTTGAGGTCTCTGCCCTCCGAGTCCTCTCCAATACCAGTCTCGGTCACCTGCCCTCCGCCTCCACTCCGCACCCGTGTCCCACCCATCTTGACCTCCTCCTCTTCCCGATTACATCTAGAGTGCTTTAATGCTGAGATTGTAAGCTAAAATAAGAGTTGAATCGAGCAAATGTCCAATGTGTGGACCACGGGTTCAGTGTAATTAGTGGTGATACACGAGGGCCTGGTCCACCGTTTGGGCTGGGAGCCTAGGGGCTGGGGAACCAAGGTACCTGGGAACCTGGGAACCTGGAAAGCTGGGAGCTGAGGGAGCTTGGGTACTGAAAAGCCTGGGAGCCTGGGGACCTGGGAGCCAGGGACTCTGAGCCAGGGAGCCAGGGACTCTGAGCCAGGGCCTGATTCGTGCCCCTGGGTGACACCAGCACGAGCTATCGGAGCCATTCACCCTCCTCTGTGAGAATCCAAACCTTAAGTGCACGTCAGCTGCTTTAGACTTTCAATTTAAATAAAATGTCATCAATTTCCTTATAAATGAATATGAAGATATGCTATGAATCAGTTTTTATGGTCCAAAGAAATAATAATTTTAACTGAGCCATCAGAGGATTTTCTTGTTAATTAGACTTTGTAAAAATTTATAACAAATAATGAAAATTTTGCAAGATTCGGTGATTCCATAAACCCTTTCCACAGAACGGAGGTCCATTATTATATTAGCACCTGTATCTCACCGCGGTGCTACACGCTCTGCCCGCGGTGGCCACGGGACTGGTGACGCCGCACCTCCTGGTGGGCACGGTAGTGGTGGTGGTGGGGGTGGGGCGGCACACTCGGCGGAGATTAAAATCCCACGGCGACGCAAGGCCGCCGGTGAAACGCGACGGCGGCAACGTCGCCACTTTCACTTCCCTCATTCGTACGTCACCATTACGCTCGCTCGAATCCCGGGGTTTGATCTTCCACGAAGCTCGCCGTCCACCCCAAGCCGCATCCACTGCACAAACCATGGCAGTGGATGCGGATACTTGATGCACAAATGGAAATTCTAAACTCTCCATGAGTGTGGAGCAGGCCCCACCTCTTCTCTAAAATGGTTTAGTCGCGTTGGGTTTGCGTTCTGCGAAATGTTGTGGCTTTGCTCTCCAGCACACCGGTTAGTGCTGTACTAGTAACGAATTGGCACGCTCTGTTTACGTGACAATCCCTTACTAGTTGGCTGTGTCGGGTGGTGGCGTGTTTAACGACACATTTATATATTTATGCGATCTAACCCAAAAACAACTCTATTGTGGATGTCACCTGGTCGAGTAAGCTATGCAACGTGCTGTAACAGGCTTGCGCTTTTGTCATAACAGACCGTAACAATGTATAACGACGCAATGCCCGATTCACAAATACGGCGATTAACAATCCGCAGCTCCTGGTGCAGTTGTCTGGACTTGACCACCTGAATTTGAAATTGTAGTCGCTGCTCTGCATCAACAATCAGCGGCCGTACGACAAGAAGAAGATTCCGCTCGGTTACCCTGGAAAGCCTCGCCGAGGCTCAAGACTCCATCAGGAGGGTCCTTGCCAAGTTTTCGCAGTAGGGGACCCGTTGTATATTGTTCATTCTTCCCTTAAAGCCCTGACTGATTATCCCCCGCTCACCCAAACTCCCCTTTCCCCTCCCATCCCATTCACTGACTCCGTCCCTCGTCCCAACTTCCCCTACCCATTCATCACACTCACTCACTCATCATCATCATCGTTTATTCCACGCATGGTCATATTCATCATGCGCTACCATCCTTCTCAACATCTCATCTCACCACACTCTTCTAGTCTACAAATATTTAATTCTTTGTTCAGCACTTTGAGCTAGGCGCTCTCTGAATTAAAATAATAAGACAAGATGTTGCTGCTGCTGCTGTGTGTGTTATCCCGATTGAGTAATTTGCTGGTGATTGTTTCAGCATTAGGATGTTTTGGCCAATACCGTGTTGTTTTTTTCATTAGCTATGCGAGGAAAACCGAGAACCGGGTGTAAACGGACGCAGAACAGGGGGAGAGAGAACGCACAGATTCTATGCAAGGAGCCCGCATCGGGGAATCGAACCCAGGAAGCTTTGTTGCTGCGAGACACGAGCGCTGCCGCTGCGCCGCCCTGCCGCCCGCCGTTAATTGGCATCAAAGACCCAGGACGGCAGAAGACGCGTCACGCCCCCAATCTCGCGACGTCACGGGCGCGGGGCAGAGCGCGGCCGTGCCGGGAGCAGGGGTTTCATTTTAAATAAATAAATAACGGCCTGCACCTAATGCCATTAGTCACAGTGACATAGGGACACGCGCCTTTCATATGCAAAGCCCGACAATTAAATTTTCACCAGCCAGCCGCGACATCATGAGACTTTAATGAAATCGCGTGGCTATCGGATGCGATGTGGTGGTTACCCCTGCACAGAGGGCGGGGTGGGGGGGGGGGGGGTAATGGAAGGATGGTCCGGTATCGTGATATCCCCGCGGCCACGCCGTGTCTAGGGCCAAGAGACGTCTGCGGCAGGTCTAACGTTCCTCCACTCGGGGGGCTTTGTCCCGGGCGAGGCGGCGACAATGCGGCGCGGCCCGACGGGCGACGATTCGCAGGGTCTCGTTTCCACGAGCTCGGGGACCAGTTTTGGTGACGGTGATCACCGGTGGCCTGCGGTGGATCCAAGGCGGGCGGGGGGGGGGGGGGTGAGGGGATGGGGGGGGCGATCGTCCCCATCACAACCTTGGAGTCCCAGAAACTTGCCGCAGTCTTTAACAAAAAACACAACGCAATGCGACTTTACTAGTAATGCAGGGGGCCGTTTAAAAAGGTTGACATTTCACGACCGTACTGCGATGACGATGAAGACGATGAAAGTGGCATAGCCGCGTCCTCACAGCGGCACAGTATCGAAAATGCAAACGCGGAGGAAATGTGTCCCAGTGTCACCGACTACAGGGTGGGCAGTGATTACATGCGTGCCTTGCAGCGAGAAGGGCAGAGGTTCCATTCCCGACTCGGGTGACCATCTGTGTGGCGTTTGTATGCTCTCCCCCCTGTCCTGCATGGGTGTCCTCTGGGTTCTGCAGTTTCCTGCCATTGCTGAGAAGATCATAGAATGTCTCTGCAATTGGGCAAAACACCCCAATGCTTAAAATGACCTACAAATTACTCAATTGAGATTACACAGCAGCAGCAACATCACCCCCTCCTGAAAAAACTTGATGGGACCCTCCTGGAAATGGGTCTTGAGACTCGGTGAGACTTCACCGAGTGAACAAACGGAATCATAAAAAAATTACAGCAAACCAACATCAGCGTAAATCCCGGTGTCCAGAGCAAACTTTGCATCGAATATTCGTGCAGCACTACTTTAAACGCGTGCACATATCGCGCGTGATTTACGTCATCATGAAGTCAAACGTGCAGTGTGGCTTATCAACCACGGCAACAAAACCTTCCCCTCGATCCACCATGAAATGTTGAGAGTGAACGTGCACACATCACGCCCGTGCTTGGCGCGTGCGTGGCGCGGAGGCCCACCTCGTACGGTGAGCTTGCTGTAGAGCTGCGAGTTCATCTCCTTGTCTCTCTGGAACCTGCGCAGCTCGTCCAGGGCCTCGCGGAACATGGTGACGGCCAGCACGAAGCCCTGCGCGGTGCAGGGAGTGGGGGGAGTGGGGGCCGCGCGGGTATCGATCAGAGCGGCGACGGGCGCGCGGATAAATCTCACCGTCCCCCGAAGGGCAATCTGTCGGCGGCGCTCTCCGAGCTGCCCCACGAGGAGCGTGAGTGATCGCGGGCAATTTTACTCCAAGACTAATTAAACAACAAAGCGGGCGATCATCAGCCTAAACAGTCACGGTGGCTTTTGTATGAGGACGATTAATGGCCGAGGAAAGGCCCCTTCCCCTCTCCCCGAACTGAACGCGGCGGTGGTGGCGGGGGTGGTGGCGGTGGCGGTGGAAGCGCAGAGTTATCGAAGTGATGGATGGCGCGGGCTATGGGCTCGTCACACTCGCACACACGTGTAGGTCGACTCAGCCTCAATGGAGTTCCTAGTGCTTTGTGTAAAAACATTGCCACTAGGAAGACAAAGGCGGCCGGGCGTGGTGTTGGCCACTATCCCCCCTGTGTGCAGTGCCGGCTTTCATAAGTGCTTGCTAACAGCACTTGCCCCAACAGTCTCTTAAGGCTATATGGGGGATCTTTGTCTTTGTGTGAACTGAGACTCGCCCACGCACACGGAGTTAGACATTCTATGACGTGTGACAATTAAGTCGATTTCCCCCTCCACAAACGAGAAGGGGGCAGTTCCCGTCACTGAAGTTATGAAGACGCTCACCCATGCCTTCATCATCCAACTCTTCTACTGCCACTGCCTGCTCTACGCCCTACCCAAGTCCCTCCCTCTCAAAACTCCCGGTGATCCAGGGTGCCACAAGAGCGCAGATCCACACCCATGACCCGAGGTCACACCACCGCCACCTTCCGTTACCTCTGCGAGCTCCCAACCGAATCCCACGGCAACGACACGATCACGCGCAACATCTCAAGAGACACTCCACAGACTTGCCCCTGCCGACATCTCGCATCTTATCTCACCGTGTTGCCCATAGCTTGCTCTTCGCTACAGAAATCAAACGCGTCTCTTGAAACCCTCCGCCAACAACCTCCACTCCTTCTCTGACGGTGCCAAACAGGGTCTGGAACTCCCCCCCCCCCCCCAGCTCTCCGTGCTGCCGACTATCTGCCCCTAATCAAATCCAGGCTCAAGACCTTCCACTTATCTTCTGCTGAAGACCGTCTCCTACACATTCCGTGTCTTCATTTACACCTCAGCTTAAATGTCTACACACACACCCACACCTCTCCCCATATCCGCTGTCTCTGGGAGGCGCACGTGCCGCTGCTTTTGAACATCAACAGCCGCACCTCGAATTTGCACTCAGAATCATCGGCATCCTCATTGAGACGAGAGGAACCCGACGAGCCACGAGGTTCTTCATCACAGATGTCCGGATGGGCAGGTCGGCGATCATTGACGCGCGACAGCGCGCGCTCTCGCGGGCTCCCGGAGCATCGTCAATTCTCCCCACCCGGGGTCGCGATTCTATTCAGCGACGTGGCGTTTCACCAACGCAGTGAAAGGTAGCGTCTCCGGTGGCCGCAGGGCTAACGTAGAGCGTTCGCAAGCGGCATAATGAATGGAAATAAAATGGAATGGGAAAAAAAAGGTTTGATGCAAGATATTATTGCGCACACAATTAGAGGAGTGCATCGTGAGCTAGAGAATCAAAATGTTCAGGTGTGTCGGTGCCTTTGTGCCCATTCATAATGCATGGATGGGCACAAAGACTAAGATCCCCATATAGCTATACAGGCTGTTGGGGCAAGTGCTGTCACCGAGCACCTACGAAGGCGGTGCGCCCATACACAATGCAGCAGGTATTAATTTAAGGCCGAGTCGACCTAGAGAAAGTCCAGGCAGGACCACGTTCAGATTTATGTCACCAATGTTGGCCATGGGTGGCGAATCGAACTCTGGTCGTCGCCACCGCCCCAACCGGCCACGCTCACGACGTTCGCTCGGCCACCACGTACCAGCGGTGCCCAGTAGGTGTAGAGGTACCCGATCTTCAGCTCGGGCACGAATTGCGAGCATGCCACCACGAGGAAGTACAAGTTGAGGAAGAACTTGAACTGCTGGTACAACACCTGCACGACAACGCCGACGCGGGCACGCAAATATTAACGCCGTGCATCAAAATCCGGCGGAGCGGGCGAGAACGCAGCCGAAGCGAGCGCGGCGGGGTCTGGGGACGATTCCTCCGTCATTGAGCTGCACATCAAGAGAACGGTCTGTCAGCCGGCAATCGTAAACGGAGGGGGGGGGGGGGGCGTGGAGGAGCTGGGCTGCTAAAACGGCTGGGATGCGATCTCAGCGAACGAGGCATCCGGGGGGCGCTCAGCGTTCCCGCGGTCGGGAGCAGTGTGACCGGCGATCATTTCATTTCTTTACTTTTTATCAATAACGGGCGAAATGCCCCCGTGGGGACGCGGGCGAGGGTGTGCGCGCGGTACGAAATATATCTCTCTCTCGCGCGCGTGTGTGTGTGTGTGTGCGTGCGTGCATGCGTGTGCTTAGACGGAACGAGCTGAATGGGATGACGGGACAGGTCTCTGCCCCGCGTGCCCGTTGCGAGCGCCGTCTTGAATGGAGGACGGCGCGCGCGAGCAAAATGTCTGCGGCCTATTTAACGCGGCAGAGGCACCCGTTAAAATCCCCGCAACCTGCTGTCATTTATAAGGTGTATTATTTTACTGTCGCTACACGTCCTGTGAAATCAGCCACAGAGCGCGGGTCGTTCCGTACCACGCTCAAAGTTGCAATTAAATTCAAAGTGGGATGCATTTCAAGCAGCTAAAGTATGTATGTTCAACTTCGTTCGCACCATGCGAAGCCAATCGTGCTCGTCGGAGGTGTAAAACATTAGAACGTGATTCTGGTCATCGCGCTATTACTGGAGACAACGTATCTCATGGGGCTCTCACCCAAAGGACGTGAGAAGGCTGCAGCACGCGGCCCACGAGAGAGAGCTGCCGTGTGGGCCACCACAGCCGAGCTGTTGTGAGAGCGCGAGACCCTGCGCTCGTTAGTGGGCCAAGGGCCCTCTGCGACAGGCGGCCCCTCCCACAGGCGAGGGCGGCTTTGTGCGTTTAGTTTGTTGTCCGTCCCCCACACCTCCGATTAGCACGGTTGGCTACATACGGTGCGAGAGAACTTGAACGTACAGTAGAACCCCTCTTAACGACGGTAATTGGTTCCGCGAAACCGGTCGTTAAGTGATGTGGTGATTAACCGGGTAAGGGAAATACACGTTAAAGGCGTAATTCGCTTCGATAGCATCGAAAGTTACCCTTATTCACCCAGTACATAGAAAATAAAATAAAAATTAAATACAATTTAAATTACAAATAAAATAAAAACAAGAGCAAAAAACCCACGATGTTTCGATTGCAACACAAGCGCTTGTGGGTCCCGGGAGGCACCGGCGTTGGTTTCCACTGCAAAAGCCGAGCGGTACCTCTGACGTCAAAGTCCGCACGTACGTGCTCACTCATTGCGTGGATTCGGTTGTGCGGCTGCGTTTGTACAGCCAGCGGTGGCAAAGCATTTTAATTTGGCCATTGCACACCGCTGATAACGCACTCCGCAAAGTTGTATTCGATGGAACAATCTAAAATTGTACAAGCACGGTGCATTTTTCAATGATGTACGTGAATCGATAGGGGGCGGATTCTTTATTTTTGTCAATTTATACCACAATCATGAGGGCAGCCCCAGGGCAAGTTCAATACTGGGCCAATAGCGGTGAAAAACCAAGGGTAGCGTTGTTAGCGGCGCCACCGAGTATGTGCGTGCGTGCGTGCGGCACGTACCCCCGGCACGAAGGTGAACACGTTGTACTTCTGGTTCTTGATGGCGTTGCGCGGGTACTTCTCCTCGCTCTTCTCGGGGTGGCCCAGCCACACGGTACGCGGCTTGAGCTCCTTGTGCCGCCGGCACAGGCAGCACAGGTTGTCACAGCAGCTGCGCGTCCCCGGCCACACCGCGCAATCAGTTTGGCACACACCGCACGCCGCACACACCGCACACACCGCACACACCGCTCACACCGCTCACACCGCACGCCGCACGCGCACAGCACACACCGCACGCCGCACGCGCACAGCACCGCGCGGCACGATGTGGCAGGCGGGGTGCCGCGTCGTGGGATACGGCGGCAACAGGCACGCCCGTGCCATGCAGCGCACCACGCCGGGTAGCAGGCGGCAAGACACACCAAGAACAACAAACACGGAGAGCAGCACACACATACAGGACACCGCACAGAACAACACCCCATGCAGGACACCGCACAGTACAGGACACAGTACAGGACACCACACCATATTGGGTACCATGCAGGATACCATGCAGGACACCCCACCACACAGGACACCATGCCGGACAGCACACCATGCAGAACACCATTGAGGACAGCACACCATACAGCACACCACACGATACAGAGCAGCACACAGTACAGGACATCACAGCACACAGAACACCACAACATGCCGGACACAACACCATGCAGGGCGAAATACCATGCAGGAAACCACACGAGCAGACACAAGAATGCACAGACACCATGCCACACATCACCATCCATCACCACCGCACGCAGTTCACGCACACAAACAGACGCCCGCACACAAACACACGCGCGCGCACACAGAAAAGAGAACCCAGAAGCATACGCACCATCAGCAAACACTCACGCTCAGCAGCGAAACATTTTAAAATCCTCAGTCACTGCGAGACAGATATTCACGGCACGCTCACGCGCACAGGCGCCAAGGGTCAGAAGGTGACCTAAACTACAGGGCAGTGGGCAGAGGCAAGGCCAGAGAGACGGTCGCGGCGCTATGAACCAGGGGCCGCAGCTCGGCCAGAGCGGGAGAGCAACGCGGCCGAAAAGGCATCGCCAGGTGATCAGCAGAGTTGAGTGAGGAGCGAAATCTGTCAAGCGGTCGCCGTTGCCGCAAGAGGCCGCATTTATGAATGACTGGAAACCCGCGCGTCTGGACCTCTAGGATGACGGCCGCTGTCTCCTAAGGCCCACCTGCACGTCGCTCAGCATCGCCAAGCTCACTGCGGCCGTGTCCGGGTTGGCGATGCTCGCACACACGGTGTCCAGAAACGTCCTTTCTCAAGACTGTCACTACGTTTGTTCACCCAGAATAGCCTCGCCAAGTCTCAAGGCTAATTTTCAAGAGGGCACTGCCAAGTTTGGTCAGTAGCGGGGGGGCGGGGGGGTGATACCGCTGCCGTGTGTAATCCCAATGGAATAATTTGCAGGTCATTTTCAAATCTGGTTAAAATGTTTACCACGATGCCAGCACGCTCCTTGCCAATGACGTTACGGCATCTTTAAAGTTCACTGGGAAGTGACGGGTATTTTATAGTTAGTCCCAACCAGGGTGGCCTGCCGGGTTCGAACCACAAACCATTACCAGTTGAATATGTTTGGCCATTACCAATAACACTCTAGTTTTTTGTTGTTGAAAGGGATCATCCAATGTCACATCGTCATAATCATCGCGCTAGCGCTATAAGATCACAGCACAGCGGGCAGCGTGAGGATTGCATCGTTCGGAGATTGAGGTCCGACGTTCACCGCCATCGCTCGGCTGTGATCCTCGTTTCGAACGCTTGTGGCGCGGCGCCGGTGAAGATCGCTCACCGTTTCAGGTCGAGCGAAACTCGCAAGGGGACACGTTGCAAACATTTGAACCGTGTGGCTAGAACTTGTGCCTCTGTGCAAGTCTTCGAGAATGGACGACGCCTTCATGGACACCCTGTAAATACGAACGGGAGGCGATTGCTCTCGATGTCGTGGAATCAATGCCAATGAAGTTTAACGCCGCCCATCGTTGTGGAATCGATGGCCTGCGAAGCGAACGCCGATCCATTCCGGAGCCGATTGCAAGGAAGCGTTAACGACGCGCGCTTCCAAATTAACGTCAGCGATCATCACTGATTACACCGTTCCCTCCGTTTAAGGAATTGATCAAAGCGAGAGAGAGAGAGAACGGATAAAATGTTCTGCAGGATCATTTGCGCAAAAATGAGCGAGCGGAGCGGGTAGCGCCGCAGCAGGTGGCACAGAGCTCTGTGGGAGACCGGGAGACGCATCGCAGTGGTGCGCTGTGTGAGGGGCGCAAGGGCTGCTCAGAGAGAGGGGGGGGGAGGGCAGGCATGCCCAGAGGAGGTGGGGGCGGGAGGGCAGGCCTGCCCAAAGGGGAGGTGGGAGGGCAAAAGGGTCAGGGGTCAAAGCTGTTAGGAGGAACTGCTGGTTGGGGTCGTTCAGGGAACAGTCGAATTAGTGCCGTTTGTTTTTTTGCTGTTTATGGTTCGTGTTGGTGCTGTTATGATGATAACAAATAATAGTGTCGGTGTGGTCTGTGTGTTGTTATGATGAGAGGTAGAGGATGGTTCTGTTAATGGTTAGTGTTGGTCTTCCTCTTTCATACGGCTGATACAGATGCAGAGAAACAACTACAATTTCACATTCCGGGGGTCAAGTCAGACAACGCCGTCAGGAGCAGCGGAGTGTATCGCTGCGATGTCTCCGTTAGCGTTGGTCTTCTGTATGGGTACAACGAGGGTTGCTGGCAGGATGATGCTAGCTGTAATTACTGGCGAAACGTCGAACTCGATCTGTACATGTGGTGCGTTTACTCTCCAGCGCACCGGTGTGCTGGACTAGTAACGAATTGACACGTTTTGTCGACGTGACAAACCCTACGAATTGGATTTGTTGGATGGTGGCGGGTTTCGCGATGCATTTATATTTATGCAATATAACCCAAAAAGGCTCTATTATGGAGGCATCACTGCTATGCTGGCTGCTATGCTGGCTGTGTTTGATCTCCTGTTTGCATGAGTAACGCTGTTTGGCGAAGGTTAGACTGCAGTTACCACCGCGATGCCATTACCCGGCCAGGTAACGCCCGATTGTGCACAATGCGCGCGATAAACAATTGGGGGGTTGCGTTGAGTTTACATCCACACAGGTGACTAACTCAGCTCATCATACTTCCGGGAATTAATAAATGAGTATGAATTCGTGGGAAGTTAACCGCTGTAATCTCACGTGTAGACTGGCTACTGCCACAGGAACGTGGAGTTTCACGCGTAGGCTTTCGCTAGCAATGTAATCCATAAGAGGTTTTGTTTTGGGGCTATATCGCGTAAATATTTCATGTGTCGTTAAACCAGCCAGTAGTCAGGTTTTTCACCAAACAAAATATGCCAATTAGTTACTAATTCTAGATTTGAAGCTTTCGTGACTGCAAGGATTCATACTCTTTGGTTTTTTCGGTAAAGTCACGTAGGTAAAAAATAAAATCAATGAAAACAACTAAATGAAATCACCACGTTTCGGGCGCAACACAAGCGTCCTTCTTCAGGTGGGGACAACGTAGCGAAAGCACAACAACCGCTTAAGTGTGTCCAAGAGATGGCTGTGACGAGGAATGATACAGTCGCCATCTCTTAGACACACTTAAGTGGTTGTGGTGCTTTCGCTACGTTGATGTCCCCACCTGAAGACGGACACTTGTGTTGCGCCCGAAACGTTGTGATTTAATTTAGTTGTTTTAATTTATTTTATTTTTTACCTACGTGACTTTACCGAAAAAACCAAAGAGTAATTAGTTACTAGTTCAGCACACCGGCGCGTCGGAGTGTAAACCCACCACAGCATTTGCAATTCGGGTGCCGTGATGTTTTCGCCACTAATTACATACAACCGTCCGCTCAGGCGGACAGGCAGAGTTGTAGAGACATCCTGCTGCTGTTTTGGTCTTCAGCAGAGGGGGCAGTTGCGGTGTCGTCACTGTGAGCCAATCAGGTGCGACGACCAGGGGGGGGGGGAGGGGCTTAATGTAGCCATAGTCATTTCTAATGATCACCGTTACGTTGTCTTTATAGCATTATTTTAGTGATTTCTAAAAAGGTTTAGTTTAGCCTTATTTGTATGTTGCAGTTTAGAGTTATACTTACAATTTTAATCTAAATTGTATTGTGATTGTTATTGTGATCTAACATCAAACTGGGATTTTTGCACATTTTTTATACGCAGCATAAACATATGATGTTTTTTTTGGAAGATTGAATTGTTTTTATAGGGGATGTTTAAATTTGTGTGCAGTAAATTTTAAATGTATCTTGTAATTGTATTGTTTGTTGCGGTTGCACCCGAATCAAGAGCCGAATGGCTCCCAGGGCAAAAACCAAATAAATTAAACTGAAACTGAAATATAAATTACAATGGTTATCTATTTATTAGTTGGGTTATTCACAGTTAATCAACATACCTAATGTATGCACATTGTGTATGTACATTACCAATTATGTACAATAGCAACAGGAATATGGATTTCGACACAACCTCACGCTCATTTTAAAAGGGAGAGACTTTAACTGCCTGTATCTGTAGCCCTGGTTGTGTACTGGAACGGGCCGTCTCGATTCACCCTTGCCTGCCTGTCGACAAAGGGTCTGATTAAAGGTTACAGATTGGGTTGTTTTTTGTTGGGTTAGCAACTCAGGTTTGGGCGAGTGCTTGAGTACGTGGGTGAGAGCGTACGGGTGAATGGGCAAGTGTTTGGGTGAATGAGTGTTTGTGTGAGTCGGTGAGTGGCTGAATGTTTCAGGTGAATAAGTGAATGTTGTTGAGTGAGTGAAATTTCATTGGGTTTGGGGTTAGCCTCATGAGAAGAGATGACTGGCAACTGTTTGGACGGGGCATGATGATTAGAATACAGGTGTGAGTTCATACTGAGTGTGCGCATTTGGATTCACATGAACTGCTGGATTTCAGGGTCATCTGTGAAAAAGCGCTTTATAGCTCATCGGATTCCTCCAGTATAAACACGTATGTGTTCTGTGTAGGGTCAGGGTGTTCATGTTCCTTACTGAGGTCAGGGCTTCTGGTAGCGCGTAGATTACTGCACGTTAGATCATTAGGGCTCATGTCTGTGCCGAGATGAGCGTTTGGCGAATGTTAAGAGCCGCCGAGACTCAGGTGTGAGCTACTGTACTCGAACCAGTCGCACGTGGAGAGTTGCCAAGTGTTACGGTTGCTTGATCATGAGCGCTTGGCAAGAGATTAAGGTGAGAGTTCGTATTACTGCTCGTGTCAATATCGGCACTGTTGTTAGTGATGTTCGTTTTCGTGATGTTATGAATACGAACACGATTTGCACTGACAAATGGGTAAGTGCCAAGTGCTGTAACGCGGATGGCCAGGGTTTGTGCCAGCGCTACGCATTATTATTACATGGGACACGGCCATCATGACTGTTGCGCTGAACGAACACCAGAGTCTGCGCATTATTGCAGCGGCATTCGCTGTGAAAGCGTTTTGCACGCGAGCGTCAGCCTCTTTGCTGGACGATCACGGCTCAGGGCCAACGCGGAGCTCTGCATCGGCTTCAACGCGTGCACGGGGGGGGGGGAGAAAACTGCAGAGCAGACGCGCTGGTGGAACACAGCCTCGTCAACACGGCCGTGTCGCAGGCGGCGTGGGAGCGGCGACGGCGGAGAGGGAAGACAAAAACGGAAAGCGACAGAGGGAAAAAGCTCCTCCAACTCAGCAGCGAGCAGAGACGCTGCGCGCTGCTGGGCGACAGGTGAGTTCGCAGGAAACGCCGAGGAGTACTGCTCCAGCCACCTGGACGACCCGCGATGGACAGCCCTACATTGATTAACTGCACGAATACCCTTTCTGATTTTAACGTGGGAAACACATCTTTCGAGCACGACTCATTTTATGCCTTTATTACCGCACACTGGTTTTCTCAATCTCGGCGATAACCCAATTGTTGGGCCGACCTGCCACGTTTAGTGTCTGAGAACGGCAGAACCGCATTGCAGTCATTCCTTCGCACCGAGCAAAGATGCCCAACGCACTTGCGCCGTGCCTGCCCGGGGGCCCCCCACGGCCTCGGCATAGCCGCGCAGCAGCCGCCACCCCCGCCTGCACCGCACGCTCTCTGCCTACGCGGAAGCCCAACTCCCGGCCACGCTCCCACGAAAGAAGAAAGGAAATCACCGGACCCTGCGGCCCAAAGCGCGCGAGTCCAGATTTTGGGTCGGCTCGGCGGCGCGGGCCCTCTCGGGTGCCGCGGTGGAGGCTGCGTTTGTGTCGTGCGCGTCATTGAGAGCCCAAGCGCGGCCACCGGAGGCACCGCCTGCCCCCCCCCCACCCACTCCTCCTACCCCCCCGCGCCGGCGCCGAAACGTGGCGCGTGCCAGCGCCTCGTTACTTACTTGCCCATGGCCGGACAGTGCGAGCGGGAGAGGGCGGCCGCGAATGGCGAGCGCAGCAGTGGAGGAGTCGCCGTCGCGTGCGCACGGAGAGAGGGGGGGGGGGTGGCGTGAGTCGATAGTGCGGCGCCCTGCCCTCTTCACTGTACGCGCAGGGGGGGCTGACACGGGGCTCTCCGAGCAAACAGCCGTGACGCAACGAGGCCGTGCTGCGCCCTACAGTGCCTCCCCCGCGCCCAACTCATTAGACAGGTGACTTGTCACACAGGTGAGTCGTCACACAGGTGAGTCGTCACACAGGTGCCTCGCCTGCCTGCGTGCCGAGGGAGAGCTGGGGAGGGAGTGGTGCCGGCGCGAGGGAAGGAGCGCTGCGATGAAACCTGACGGCTGCCTCGGAGGGATTCTCAAACTTGGCCGTGACGGCGGCACACTCGGCGCGCTACTCTTGAGGGAAATGCCACGGGGTCTTTAACGTCCACTTTCAACGGAGTGGCGGTTCTGGTAATGGCGCCCTTTAAGAAATGGCCCAACAGGTGGGAAGTCGAAACGTCTGTCCTCATGCGAACTAACGTCGACGAACGCACACGTTGTCAACTCGACTCTACCAATCTGCCTCCTCGACACCAAGCTGGACGAGCCGCACGGGGAGACGGACGTGCGTTGACGAAACACGACAGGTGTCGGTTTACCGGCTGACAAAGGGGCACAGGTAATCACAGATCACGACGACGACAAGCAGCGAAAGCGACAGGCATGAAGAGACGAACAGAATTAGGCACAAGGATGAACCTATGCACGCGTGGCGCGGAGAGACGTATGAAGTCCGTCATGCAAATGGGATGAGAAAGAATACACACGCAACGTTCGTTACGTTACAAACGTACATTGGTGCCACAACACCGAAACTGAGATTCCTATTTTTGTACAAACAACAGACTGCGGGGGAGAGCTGTGAGCGGGTACAGCTCCTATGAACGCCAGCAGCTGCATGCAAGGGGGTGGTCGTGCAGCCAACAACCACAACACACACACCCAGCCACCCGTATCTCTCCGGCACTGCATATGACCTCCTGTGACACAACTTATTAATTCCAGGCTAAGTCAACCTAGAGGAAACAATGGGCAGCTGCAATTAAACCCAGGCTACCAGAACTCAAACTAACCACTCACCACCGGTGTTTTACCGTCTGCCCGTGCCCACGCGCTGCACACAAAGGAGACAGGGCCCACGGTGAAACCGGTGCGGTGAAACTGAGCCGGCAATGCCGATATCCTGGGTACGAATCCGGGATCCGGCCGCCCGTGGTTAAACCAGGCCCCTTTCCACCGCTCAGAATACACTCCCACCAACTCACGACATGGTCCCTCTGTGGTGTGTAGCTAGCATGTCAATGTTAGAACTACAACAACCCTCCATCACCTGACAAGAGCCAATCAAATCAAGTTGTCACATGGGCACGGATGCCAATTGATTTTAAGAAGTAGCTCTGTGATAAATATGACTGCGGGCCGTTCTCTACCATGGTGTCCGAATGGACACTTCAGCTGAAATAACACTTGGGAAACATTCTAGACTTTTGCAAGCTGAGGAGAGAAATCGTGTGTATTTGCATGGCACGAGTGTTTGCACTCGCAGACATCAGCATCGTTCAGCCATCGCTGGGGGCAGAAGAAAAGCGACTTGAATCTGGCATGTGACACAAGAAAGCGGCCAAACGTACAATCCCTCTGAACACTTCAGTTCGTTTTAAAATCCGGGCGGCTGATATTCAGACTGCGAGTCATGCGAAAATCGAACTTGGGATTGAAGTAAATGTGGTGACAGGGGTCCAGGTGTCACCCCACGCTCTCGACGGTCGCACTACTGCATCGCGTGGGCCGCGACGACAGCAGGGAGCCACGCGGGCGCTGCCAACGCCAAAGTGGACACCAAGGACTCCCTTACACGTTTCTCATTGAGAAATGACAACGCATTTCCAACGGGCTCCGAAATGCTTAAGTAAAGAACAAAAGTACTTTTCTATATTAGCATGCTACAATAGGGACTTGTGTGACTTTGCAAGGGCCAAACATATTGATTGGGAAAAGACCTGCAAATAAGTTGTAACAAAAATAAACGCGTGCTCTGCACGTAACTTAGTTTCGTTTTTCCCAAAAGGAGGATTAACCTTGGTGGGATCTGACCAAGTCAAATAAATAACCAGTGATACGGAATTGATGACGTGCCGGGGCCTCTATCCCTCGCTGCCGCTGTTGTTGTTGTTGTAACATTTGGTGAGCGGATGACAGACAGTGTACGTGTAAGCAATCGAAGGCACACATGACAACGACACAAAACACACACACACACACAGACACACACGCACACGCGTACCGCATCAACAACGCAGTGGCCGGTCTCAGAAGGGACCACTCTCTAAAGCACAGGGCCGAACCCCCGTGACGCTAATCCGGCGGCGAGGTGCTCGTCTGGCGAGCTGCCTGCCAACACACCGGCGTGACAGCAGCGCAGCCCAAAACACTTCCCAAGCAAGCGCTTGACTTTATTTCTACGACGAGAGCGCCCGGGGGCATTTAGCGTAAGAAGCGATTCACTCGAGGAAGTGCAAAGCGAAGCGTAGGCTGTGGGGGAATGCGCGAAGGCGACAGGGAAGAGGTGCGGGCGAGCACGCCGCAAAGCGAAGGTGATGCGGGCTCTTGCCGTCCAGACAGGCGAGAGGGGGACGACGTGAGCCGCGTTTACTGACATTTGCTTACGCACACACCTTCAAAGCACATGTGCAAATACACTGTGAACTGCGTATATATGTGTGCGCGGTGTGGCAGTTACATTTAGGATCAAGCACATTAGACTGCACGCCACCTGCATTTGCGGCCGGGAGGTGTTTTCTCTGCTCCGACGGGCTGCTTTCACTGCCGCGGCTTTCAGAGACGCGTTTTGCATCATTACGACCCACGTCTTGTTTGGTATCCCGACTGCCTGCAGTTAAGTAATGAGATTACCCTTCATTGTGCATAATACTAGGGAACGCCTGTTGGTTAGCCAGAATAACAGGAGGAACCCCTGCCCTAAATCAGCTGTATTCGCAGCCCAATGCACTTCCGTTGCGTCAATCGCACTGCTGCTCATTCTCTCCGCGCCGTGCAGCACGGGACGCACAGCTCCAGCCACAAAAGCAGATGACGCGTCCTAATGTCCAGAGATCATTGTAGTAGCCCCAGCAGAATGTGCTTGCCAGTGCCAAGGTATCGTGTCATTAATGTGTCATCCGTTACCTTGTGCACAGACTGTTGCAGCCGCCTGTTAAAAACCATGCTAGTCCCCGCCTCTGCTTGATAACTCTAGCCTTGGGCAGGCTGTGATAGTCACAATCCTCAGCCTCAAAGCCCTCCTCCGACATCATCAGAGGCATCTGATCCAATACGGCCTCATCGTCCGCATCCGACGGATATCTGTCGTCACAAACACCACGCACTTCCTTAGGCCCGGGGAACTCGCAGCGGCTCAACGGCCCGAGACACAGCGCCAGCAGACCAGGTCACAGGCGGAGCGGTGGCCAGGATCATGCCTTCATTCTTGCCAATCAAAAGCGTACTCTGGATTTTGTGTCCACGTGCCAGCGTCACCAGCAATGTCCCATTCGTGCCACCGGCACTGCAGGGCACAGTAGGGCATTTTTCCGTCACCAGCGTCGTCCAACCACAGCAGAGCACTCAATTAGCAAAGTCTCCATCCACAAGGGCCACGAATGATCCGTAGGTGACATCACAGGGCTGCTCCTGACATCCTTCAAGACATTTCTCGTACGAAGTCGTTAAAATGCATTCTGCACCGTGAAAATGAGTGGCTTGTGCCGTTAAAGCTGAATAAGCCTCCCGAGTAATGAAATGTAAAATTAAGCGTGAGATCACATTTTACACAGTGGCTTTTAGGCGAGGTCGCTGGTAACTGAATTAAGATGCTCAACGCCTTACACTGGAGACCGTGGATTCTTATAGCGTAAGGCCATCGCGACACGCACATACACAGTCTGCAGTCGTTTCACATTTGAGGGTGATGTTGCTGCTTATGCAATCCCAAATGAGCAATTTGCGGGCCTTTTTTCGAATTTGGAAAAATTTGGAGTGTGACGCCGGCACAAGAGGGCCTCCTCTTTTCAAACGACCTTCAGCGGACCTTCAAAATCCACAGTGAAGCGGGCGGTACTTTGCACGGTTAACGCGCCCGCGGCAATAATCAGGGCAGCCTGCCGGATTCAAACCTCCGCAACAGGCGGCGAACGCGCTTCCACCGGGCCGTGTGCACCGTCCTGAAAAACCCGAGGGCCTTTGGCACCAACGCAGGAGTCAGGCCGCCGAGCCATCCTCCGGCCACGGCTCAGCGTACGATGTTCTGCTCTCCCCGCAGCTTGTAATGCACGTAAATTCAGTAGCAGTGCCCATTTTAACGTGTGTGTGCTCGTGACGATACTGCACATCGACAAAAAAAAACACTTTGCCCACCTACCTATTTGCAGAGTACAACAGAGCATTGTATAAAACCTCCGAATATCTACATTGCCTATACGGCAATAGTGATTACATTTGCCTGCAGCGATGACCAACCATGTTGATGACTAATACCATCGACTGCTCAACGGAAAGCTGACGCATAATACTGCGTGTCCGAGCTGCCCTCCTGTCCTTTTACAACAACATAATTTCTGTTTCTTAAACACAAAGTACCAAGATACAGACAGACGGTGGGGTATTGCCCAAGAGAGCATTGGGTGGTACGAATCTTTTTTGGTGGTCTTGAGCCACTTGCTGGACATTCCACATTCCGGGGCCAGTATTTCCATTCGACAACCAGTGTGGCACTCGCTTTGTCAACCCAGGAAAGGCGATTGGCTGAGTCAACCCTTACAAAAGAGAAACCATGTAATAGAGTGTAGAATGATATACAGCAAACCCTTGTCCATCGCGGGGGTTACGTTCTTGAAATTAGCCGCAATTGGCAAATTTGCGATCCGTAAACTCAAAGGCATCAATGGGAAAACCAGAGTTTGGCTCATGGTTCGTAATACAACACTCACCCCTCCTGTTGTTTTACGTCACTCTACATCAACCCAAATATTAAACAGGAAGTATTTTGAATGAAAAATATGATTCGTATTTTCTATTGTTAAATATAATTTGTATGGTAAATGTATACAACGATTTTCCTTTTCAAGTCGTGAACTGTACAGTATCCGTGTACAGCGGCGTGTGTGTCCATCCTAGGCAGCAGCAGCATCATCGCGAGCAGTACAGTTACAGTGCATACAGGAATCTCGCGGTCACCCGCGAATGGTGGAGCCAGAGGGGTGCGATCGGTGAAGTGTACCTCAATAAATTTGGCGCAAAACCGTAATTGCTACCACTCGTGAGAGGGAAGGGTTTCTGTATTATTAAATCAAGGTAAATTGTCAACGAACGTCAATAGTATCCTTTTTTTAATTATCAATGCATGTATTGTTTGCTTTAAATTCATGAACGACCATATATCATA